GCTGGAGTTACGGATGGTTGTTAGTTGCCAAGTGGGTACTGGGAACCCAGGTCCTCTGCAAGAGCAGCAGTCCTTGTAACTGCTGAACCACCTCTCCAGCCCCTAAATAACCCACTTTCATTGCAGTTTTCATAACAGGGAGATGATAAGACGTTATCCATAAAAGGGACAATTCTAGAATTACATTCTAGAATGTGTCATGGGCATACAAGCTTTGTGCCCTGACTACCGGAGCCTCTCACACCTCGCTTCCCAGCATTGCATTTCCTATAGAGCACCTTCTCCTGGTAAAGCCTCAGGTGACCCTGTTACAGCCCGGATGAAGCTCAGCCTCAAGCAGCTTTACTGCGGTCTGCTTGGTCTCTGCTTTCCTCATCTCAGCGTCCTCAACCCGTCTTCATTCGTGTGCCTTGAGTTCTGGGTCTTCCTCCCTCTCCTTTGCGTTGATTCCCCCAGATCTTCAAGCATTTTCTTCACCACGTTCTTCAGATATCACTTCCTCACGGAGAGTTGTCTTGACCTCCACTGAGTACCCCTTTTCTCTCCAATGGCAGTTTACCATGTTAGCGGGAGTCCTTGACCTAACATAGCTTGTCTGCTGGTCACAAGGGTAACGTCTGTGTGTTCACATGCAGAGACTTTGCTACCATTTGTTGAAAACATCCCTAACCACTAGAATAGTGCTCATAATAAGAGTTCATAGATATGTTAACAGAATCATCCCAGCATTCAGTTTGCAACTTTCAAGTCCTAATGATTTCCAAGATTCGAACATGTAGAAGCCAGGGGTGGTGTTCTAAGAGTGTCTAGCGACCTCTGCTGGAATATTTAACACAGGAACCGAGTACCATCGTTATTTCCTGGCTGTACTCCTGCAGAGAGTGGCAGAACCCAGCGTGGTGTGAAACTGGGGGTCAGTGTCTATGGGGCACCCTCCTTCCTCCTGTTCTGCTACAACTCTTGTTTTTCGCTTTCAGATAATCAGTTTGTTTTTCATACAAACCTTAGAGGAGAGTATTCAGGGGTTCAGGAAGAAGAGAACTTCCCTTCATGTGTCTATAAACCTATTTTTTCTTTTCCCACAAGCCACAGCTGTTCTCTGTGGATGTATTTGAAAGATGAGACTTCATGTAGATGACACGGGTAGGTGAAAATACATTCCATGTACACATTTCCTTTGGTTCCATGTATTTCATGACCCTTGATTCGGGAGCGATTTTGAAAATGGTATTAACGAAATGCTTTTTTAAAAAAAGAGCAAAGGTTTAAGCAAAATCTGTCCTCGTGTTGAGAATAACAAAATATTTACCCAAGTCTGCTATAAAGAGGTCATCAGGAGATGGTGTGTCACTAAACATATTGGAATTTGACACAAGAAAGTAAAAAGGGAACCAATAAGTTTTTTTTTTTTTAAATCAAAATGGAGCTGGAGAGTTGGCTTAGTGGTTAAGAATGCTTGCTGCTCTTTCAGAGGACCAGAGTTCATGTCCCAACAGGACAGCTTGTAGCTACCTATAACTCCAGCTCCAGGGGATCTGATGCCCTCTTCTGGCTTCTGTGGGCACTTGTATACTTGCATGCACACCCACACATAGACACACAGACACATGAATAAAAATAAATAAATCTTTTTTAAAAATCAAAATAATGAAAGTGGAAATATATAAAACAACCATGAGTTGATGTGATTAAACTTTTCCAAAGTTATTTTTCTTAGCTTATTTATGGTGTATATACATGTAGAGTTTGTAGAGCACAAACCAAAAGGACCACATGGATATTATATATAATCACTACCACAGGACTTGAGAGATGACTCAGCAGTTAAGAGCAGTGACTGCTCTTGCAGAGAACCCAGGTTGGATTCCCAGCACCCAAATGGCAGTTAACAACGTAACTCCAGTTCCAGGGGAATCCAATGCTCTCTTCTGACCTCTTTGAGCACTGCATAACACAGGTGCACCTACCTGCATGCAGGAAATACATTCATACTCACAAAAATGAAAATAGTAAATGAAACATATTTTTAAAAAATCACTACCATTTAAAGACAATCATTGTAGAATTTTAACACAGAGTCGCCCAGTCTTTATTTACATTCCAGTCTTCCATTCATAAACATTTCATGAGTGGAAACTTATACATATACAAATATGCACACATGTTTACAAAGTATGTTCAGTTATGCTATTTTCTACTTTATATCCTACTTATTATCAAATGCTATGTCATAAAATATACTCATTAATCTAAGGTAGTTTTCCTCCAAAATGTTTTAGATAATTAAGTATTCAAACAGTCAAATATACACGGTACAATATTCAAAATAATTGAGAAAATGAAACCTTCCTCTTAACTCCACCACTCTCCAACAGTAACTACTATCATTAGGGAAGGTTTGACTTAACTGTCACACATTCCCCACACCGAGGCTGAACACTGATAAAGTCTCCCATCTATAAGTTATTCCTTAACTTTTTTTGCAACTTTCTCCTCATATGGAACACTTTTATATCTATTGAATTATTCTTTATCAATTAGGTAGACACTAAAACTTTATTAAAACATTGGCTGAAGTTCACATAATTGAGAAATACTTGATTGCACCTGATCCCACCAGAGCCTGACCCACAACACAGCACATGATGACTGTAGGTCAATCTTAGGGGGTATTGAATAGTGTGGATCAGCTCTCTGTGGGTCATAGAGTGCTAGGCGAACCAGTTTCAAGACTCCTGAGATGGCATACTTGGAGCTCTGCTTCCTCTCTCAAACTTCGGGCCCTGCCCCCCTCTGTCCCCTCTTTCTCACTTGCTGTCACCATGGCCTTCTGTTTGATTTTACTGGGATTTGTATTTGCAGAATACTCAGGGGTTAAGCAATACACAGGAGTCATTTTTTTTTTTCAAAGAGACAGAAATGTAAGCACATCTATTCAGTGCTTGATTTTTAGAATTTATTTTATCCATATTTGTGGTGTGCTTGTGTGGTGTGCGTGTGTGTGTGTGTGTGTCTGCTTGTGGAGGTCAGAGGACAACTCTGTGGATCCCGTTCTCTCCCTCCACCTTCTCATATAAGTTCATTAAACTCAAGTCCCCAGGCTTGCACAGCCCTAATACTTGATTTTTAAAATTGACCATATAAGCTTTTTATAAAACCTTAAACAAATGAATCATAAATTCTGTAACTAGATGTACGTTTAGAAAGACAATTAAAAATGTCAGTTAACACTGGAAGACAGATACTGATTTGCACAGGTCTTTTATTTTGCACAATGAAATATGGTTTTACCTGCCTTGAGTCATTAAAACAGCCATAAGTAATTAGACTCTATGTGATATTTCTGAAAACTTAATGCAAATTTCTATACTGTATTAACAATTGACAAATTATTTCATGACAATTCTTAAAATTCTATTTTTAGTTTTTTATTACATTTACTTATTTGGTGTGTGCATTCATGCGTGTGTGTGTATGTGTGTGTGCACAAGAGCGTGTGCAAGCATGCATGTTCATATGTCATAAAGCAAATGTGGAAGTTGGAGAACAATTTGTGGGCTTTGATTCTCTCCTTCCACTGTATGGGTCCCAGGGATGGAGCTTGGATCATCTGATTTGGTTGCAAGTGCCCTTACCCACTGAGATATCTCACTCGCTTGATAACTTTTTTTACAAGTTTAAAACATATATTTAAAATATAATTTATAAAATGCTTAATCTGCCAACTCAGGAGCCTGAGATGCAGGGATAGGTGGGGAGCTGCCTCCTGTACCAGCAGACCAAGACTGCACGGTGTGACCCTCCCTCCCAACCCTTCTTTCCAGATGCCCAAGAGTATACCCCCGGGGTAGCATGGCCAGAAACAACCCCAAGGTTTTCTTAAGTCTTTGCTTTCCAGGGAGGCTGGGTGCAGCCCTGCAGGCCCATCCCTGAGCAAAGCACCCCCAGACGGGCAGAGCAGGGTATGGCAGGGCGTCACCTGATGATTTTTAAAATCCCAATGTAAAGAATATTTTGGACAAGTGCCAATTCTCTGAAATATAGTATAATACTGCAGACATACAGATAGCAGCCTAAGTCTGTGTAAGAAGATGGTTAAAAATTGAGCCTGCTTGTAAATGCCCTCACACCTTTAGGAGTAGTATAGCACACAGTGTGTGTGTGTGTGTGTGTGTGTGAACACATTGGCATATATATATTTATATGCAGGTGAACACAGGGTAAGCAATGTTTTTTATTGATAGTGGGAACCTGGTAAAATTTCAGAACCTAACTTCTTTTGCAACTTCCTACCATATTTGAATACTTTCCTATCTACTGAACTATTGTCTATCAATCTGATAATATGAAGTTTAAAATGTACAAATGTATGCTGGGCGTGGTGGCGCATGCCTTTAATCCCAGCACTCGGGTGGCAGAGGCAGGTGGATCTCTGTGAGTTCAAAGCCAGCCTGGTCTACATAGTGAGTTCCAGGCCAGCTGGGGCTACAGGGAGACCTCGTCTCAAAAAGAAAAAGGAAAAAAACACTAATGTGACTAAAATTCATTTCTATTCCATCATTAAAACATGGACTGATCATCAGTATTAATCAGCCAAAGTAACATTCTTTAGACAGGCTGAGATTTATGCTTTTTACACGGAAAGCATTGTTAGCAGTTAAGGAATCAAGATCCACGCCTCTCACTCTTCGCTTTGTACACATAGAACAAAATAAGTGGGAATAATTTTCAGTGCTCTAGGTAAAGAGCCACTAGACATGTGGGCACGCGTCAAGCAGGCTGCAGAAGGCCCCAGAAACTCCTGCAGGATCACTCTGTGAATGATGAAATTCGCATGGGTGACCCGACTGTGGGAGTCTGGTCCAGAGGACAAGGGTTAGAGGGCTGGCCGTGTGTCACGCTCAGCCTGTCCCTGGCCGCTTGCCCTGGCTGTGAAGAGGAGGGTTTTACTTGTGATGTTTTCTGGGCTGTCTGAGCACACCGGAATTGGGGGTGTTGCCCGCACTACACCTACCCCCAAAGGCAGTCAAAGGAGAAACTCTTCCTTCAATTGGGAGTCCTGCGCGGTGCACGCACCATCTCACCCTGCTGTGTCGCCCTGCAGAGGACATCCGGAGGCTGATCCCTACCCACCCCGCTCCTCTGTGCGGAAGCAGGGATTCAAAAGGCGCCCGGGACTGGAAGAAGCATGCTCCGCGGCAGGTCCTTGTCTGTGACTTCCCTGGGTGGGCTTCCTCAGTGGGAAGCTGACCCACTTCCTGTGGAGGACTTACTACTTTTTGAAGTTTCTTGGGAGGTGGCCAACAAAGGTTTGTATTGCTCCCGAAGGTGGCTATGTCCCAGGTTAGCGAAGAATGTAGACTGGGATCCGCAGCTGGCCCCAGAGACAGGAACTGCCCAGTAACGGGACAGCACTGGAGCCAGAGATGTGCGCTGGCAGCATTGAATTTGTCTGTCTCAACAGACAGTGACAGCTCGGCCATGTATGGGTGAAATGGGAACAAGATGAATATGGTAGTGAGTTGTTCAAAGTGTAAGTTTATATTAAAAATTTAAATTCCTGTTACCACAAAATAGAAAGCAAAAAGTTGTTTTCGTTTTGTCATTTTTCTCAGAAATAAAACAAATACGTAATTACTTCATTGGAGGAAAGGATGTGTGTTACCAGGACCAATCAGAAACTTTGACCCTTTAGCTGTTAGTGCTTATACAAACAATTTAATAATGCTTCTATCAATTCAAGATGAGGTTGGGATTAGAGTTTTAGTTTAAACTGTGCTCCTCTTCAGAAGAATAAAATTAACTTTTTCTTCAATGCTTTGCATACGTAGAAAATATAAAATAAGGAAGAAGATAAAATTGGTCCAAATGGAATATTTTTCTAGTAAAGTACAAGGCAATCTCACTGATTTTATTAATACATGTTTTTGTAAAAGTATATGAAAAACAATTCCTATAGATTGGTATCTTCTAACTTAAAGATGCCAAGACTCTTAAGAAAATATTGACAAGGTAAGTGAAATAGTTTATTTTTGTTTACATGTATGAGTGTTTGGCCTGCATGTACACAAGTACACCACGTGTATGCAATGCCTGTTGGCAGTCAGAAGAAGAGGGCGTCAGAGTCCCTGGAACTGGAGTTACAGATGGGTGTTAGCCACCATGTGGGTGCTAGGAAACAACCCAGGTCCTCTGCAAGAGCAGCCAGTGCCCTTAACTGCTGAGCCATCGCTCCATCCCTATGGAAGTCTGAAGTCTCCATGATCATGAAGCCTCAGGCCTAGAGATGGACGGGCAAGTGGTAGTAACAAACTGCAGTCTGAAGACAGGTTGAAGAACAGGAATGTGGGTTATTGCCTCTTCCTGCTTATTCAGAACCAGCAGCGTAGCAGAGTTAGAATTTTATTAGGCTGGGGCTGTGGAGATAATTTAATCAGAAAATGCATGGGGACCTGAGTGCCCCCAACCCCCAGAACTCATGTAAAACTGCTAGATGTGGTGGCACATCCTTGTAACCCCAGCACCAGAGAGACAGAAACAGGCAGATTCCTGGGGCTCACTGGCCAGATAGCCTAGCAGAATTGGTGAGCTCTGGATTCAATGAGAGGCCCTGTTGCAAAAAAACAAGGTAGAAGGCATCTGAGGAACACAACATAAGGCTGACCTCTGGCCTCTATATGTACTTGCAACACGCACTCACACGTGCTCCCACAGTCGCAAGCACCTACACGTGCATGTACACACACAGAATTACATTTGGCCTCTGTCCTGATTTCTGCCTTATGCTGACAGTCCAAAGTTCTCCAGAACATATTTATGAAATACTTAAAATAAAAATTAATGATGGATCCTTACTGTTAAGAAACACAAAGACTCAGGTGGGAAGCTGAGTCTTCTTCCTTTCTGTATTAGGGAGGAGGTCCAGAGAGGATCAGACCTCAGTAGGGAGAAGGGGAGTATTATGTGAGTAGCTCTTGCAAATCCCCCCTTTCCTGTAACCAATTCTCTCCAGTTCCTAAATTCTCCCATGGTTCCCAGGAACAGAGCCACCTGTACTACACGTGAGTCGGAGGGTGTGTGTACACGGAGAGAAAGATTTTCTCTTCAGAGTAGGCAGAGTCAGGCCTGTAGCTTCTAAAAGAAGAAAACCGGGAGTCGAGTTGGCACTGGGAACTGGCCCAGAAGACCCGCGCACAGGTCTCAGCACAGCCTTTTTCTCTTTGCTCTTTCTATTGAGCAGACATGAGTAGGGATAACTTTAGTGGAAGCTCACTCTTTCCCACCATTGTATGAATCTTATATGTTAGTGACATGCATGTTGATCTGATCTCTGGGTCTAAGACAGTCCTTGGCATATAGAAAACATTAATTAGCTTTTGTATTTTAACTTTTTTTCCAAAGCATATTGGGTTTTTGTGGATTTCATACAAAACATTCTTTAAAAATTGTATTATTATTTTTATTTTTTATGTGTATGAATGTATTGCCTGGATGTATGAAAGTATATCTATGTTGTACAATGCCCACGGAGGTCAGAGGAGGGTGTCAGATCCCTTGGAACTGGAGTTACAGATAGTTGTTAGCCACCATGTGGGTGCTGAGAATCAAACCCAGATCCTCTGTAAGAGCAATCAGTGCTCTTAACCGCTGAGCCATCTGTCCAGCCCCATTATACATTTTGTCATATTTAGACCCCGTCCTCTATCTACACGCTCCTATAGCCCACGCACAGGATTTCATACATTCTGTCATATACGTTAAGGCCTATCAGGTCAAGTTTGTGAACCCGTATGTGTCTTGGTGTGAGCTCATCCACTGGAATCTGCTCAGCCTGTCTAGCATCACTCCCTGAAAGAAGATCAACTCTCCCTCACCCAACAGTTATCAGTTGTCAAGAGTTACTTGGCTTGGAGCCTCCTGCCCACTTCCCCAGTTCTATGCTGGTTTTATCTGGTTGAGTTTGCATGGGTCTTGTGCATGTTGTCACCATTGCTGTAAGTTCATATGGGCAACTTCCCAGGAACACGTAAGCCTCTGTTTTCCTACGGTCATGCCGCGCCCCTGGCTCTTACAATCTTTCTGCCCCCTCTTCCACAACGTTCCCTGAATTCTTGGTGGGTGGGGTTTGATACAGGAGTCCTGTCCAGGGACACGCACTCTGCAGTCTCCATTCTCTACACTTCGGCCAGCTGTGGCCTTCTGTGGTCATTGCCCTATGTTGCATGGGAAGCTTCACTAGGTTCCATGAACCTTAGGGCTAGAGGTTGAATTGTAGATGTGTCACTTAGGGTTGGGCGTCTCAGAGACATTTATCCTCTGTGTGTGACCAGTTGTGGAACTCTGTACTAGACTCCATCTGTTGAAAAGATGCTTCTTTGATGAGAGTGGTTGCTGCTATACCTGTCTCCATGGTTCCTTTCAGTTTCCCTGGTTCCTGTGGTTACATCAGGTTATGTACTCACATATCAATTAGCTTTTTTAAAAGAAAGGAATAATTCCATTTATTTTACAATTAAAGAGTCACCTTTGATACTCATTTGGTAGTCTTCCAAGGAAGGGAATGTGTGTGTGTGTGTGTGTGTGTGTGTGTGTGTGCATACCTATGTGTAGACTGACCACGTTATTTTATTTACTCATGTTGATATCACCTTCAGCACATATTTGATATTTTTAGTCTAATCTTGTTAATTTTTTAATGCAGACAATTACTGCGTCCATCCCTGACAGCACATTGCTGCTACAGCTTCTTTGAAAAACTTACCTTGAAATCAAGCACGGTAGAGGAAGCCTGTAATCCCAGCACTTGGGAGACAGACACAGGAGGGTCTCTGTGAGTTTGAGAAGAGACAGCAAGTTCCAGGCCAGATAGGGCTACAGGGAACCCTGTCTCAAAAAAAACAAACCAAATCAAAACAAAACAAAAACTACCAAAAAACAAACCTAACAAAAAAACTTATTTTGAGGGTTGGCGAGATGGCTCAGCGGTTAAGAAAAAGCAGCTGCTCTGACAGAGGACCCTGGTTCAGTTCCCAGCACCCACATGGCAGCTAAAACTCACCTGTAACTCCAGTTTCGGGGCATCTGACTCCCTCTTCTGGCCTCAATGGGCACTGCACTCACAGGTGCACTTACATTCATATAGCAAAACATTCGTACACATAAAATAAAAATTAATTAATTAATTAAAACCTACCTTGAACTTATGGCATTGTGTAGTTCATGGCTATGATATAGCATCTTAGAGATCATGAATCCATCTCCCCACTTCATAAATGAAAATGGATTCACAGAGGCACCGAGTGACCACACATGGAAGAGATGGAAACAGCACTTAGGTCTCTTCCAAGTCTGCATAACAATTAAATATTTTATTCTTTTTAATATTTCTATGCACTAACTGTTTCTGTGACAATTTCTACATGTACACAGTGCAATCTGGCTGCAGAGACCAGAAGAAGGCATCAGATCCTCTGGAGCTGGAGTTCTAGGAACTTATGAGCTCCCTGATGTGGGTGCTGGGAACCAAATTCTGGTCCTCTAGAAGAGCACCGAGTGCTCAGAACTGCCGAGCCACCTCTCTAGCCCCTCTTTGCTTTGTTTTTTAGGCTACCCAAGGTCTTTTGTGCATCCATATGTGTTTTAGAACTGTTTTGTCAATTTCTGTGATAAATGTCATTGACAAATCAATAGGTATTGAATTGGGTGGTTGTGAGCCTTTTAACAATATTTATTATTCCAATTCATGAACATTAGTACCATAGTCTTTCTTTTTTTCAATTTCTTTCATCATTGTTCATAGTTTTCCTGGTATAGATCTTCCACTTCTTTAGTTAAATTAATTCCTGGTTTTTAAAACTTTGTAGTTACTATAAATGGGATTGCTTTCTCAATTTCTTTTACAGATAAATTGCTTTTGGCATATAGAAATGCTACCACCTTTGTGTGATGATGTGTGTGTGTGTGTGTGTGTGTGTGTGTGTGTGTGTGTGTGTGGTCTTTGGAAATTTCCATATATAAAATTATGCAATCTGCAAATAGTAGCATCTTGGCTTTCTTTTCTCCAGCTTAGAAGTCCATTATTTCTTTGTCCTGTCTGATTGCTCTGGTTAGGATTTCTGTTACTATGATGAATAAAGGTGAATTTTTGCATACACTTGTCCATTCCATCGATGTTACCTGTGGGTATGCTTATCCTGATGTGAACACTATGCTATATATGCATATTGAGATATCATATGTACCCCATAAAAATGTGATTATTTTGAAAATGGGAAAACACCATGGCTCTAAATTTTCTAAGTCCCTGAGA